TCTACAAAACTACTACGTGTACAAGATTACAGAGCATGGTTTCCTGCTCAAATTTAACTACAGAACACAAGTCAAGGAAATACATTCTAAGGGGTTTCCTTGCAAAATGTTTAGATTAAAGAGTTTTGAGGCTTTGAAAGATCCTGATGATGTGAATGACAAGGAGCTGATTGGTACTAAAATTAACTTTCCTATCTGCTAATATGTTCTTTATTCTACTTTTAGTAGTTATTGATTATACTTTGTTCATTTTGCAGATGTTATTGGAAGGGTAGTTGAGATTTACAATCCTGTGGACAAGATTGTAGGGGGAAAGGCCACAAACTAATAGACTTCCAACTTCAAGACAATGCGTAAGTTTTTTAAAATAAATTTGATTACATTAGAATATAATGCATTTTTTTTTTAATTTTGTGTTTTTCTGTTTCTAAACCAGTGATAACACCATCATGTGTACACTGTGGAATGAGCATGTTAGTTCCCTGATGCCTTTTTACAATAGTGATTCTGTTGAACCACTGATTGTTGTCATTCAATGCTGTAGGGCCAAAGTTGTGGGTGGTGAGTTTTTATACTGTTTTCTCTTCTAATCTATAGATTCAAATACTAAATATTCTATACTGTATATATATCCTAATATATATCTAAAAATACATGCATCTATTTTTTTCATTTATTTTAGGTGAAGTGAGAATAACCAGTTCCTATGATGCTACGAAGCTGTGGTTTAATGAGGATTGGGAAGAGTTTAAAGAGTTTAAGTCAAAGTAAGTTCCATCTTTTATATTTCTCCTATTTTTTTTGGTTTCTACTAATTTTTTTGCTATTTTAATTACTGTGTGCTCTACTTTCTACTACTTATTTTAGGCAAATGTTGTCTAAAATGCATATCTAAAAATAAGAAAGATAGTTTAAAGAGTTTATGTGCTCTACTTTTTACTCAAATGCATATCTAAAAATAAGAAAGATAGTTTAAATGTTGTCTACTTTATTGTTGTTTTGTGTTTTAGACACATCTAACTAAGTTTCTAATCTTTTTGAAGCATGAAAGCTCAGGGTACTCCAATGAGGAGTCTCAGTACTGGCACACTGCATTCCAACTCTACAGGACTAAGTGATTTTAATAATGCTTCTGTTATTGTCACTAACTGCCATGACATTAAGAAGGTGAAACAGGTAATCCACACACTAAACTACCAATTCCTTTTGTAGTTTGATGTAACTGAAATTATTAAGTGCTATATATACTTATCAATTTTTTTGAATACTATAGGATGGGGACTACTATGTTGCTGCTGAGATTCTTGGGTTGGATTTTGAGGATGGTTGGTATTACTTATCATGCCTGAAACTTGGATGTAATAAGAAGCTTAAAGAACAGGAAGGGACACTTTTTTGTACTAAGTGTAAGAAGAGTTGTATGATGGGTACAGTTAGGTACAAAGTAGTTGTTATTGCTCTTGACAAGTCTGGAGATGCTCCCATGTTGCTTTGGGATAGGGAAGTTACAGAGCTTGTGGGTATTCCTGCCTCTATTTTGTATGCAAAATACAAGGAGGTAAATTCTTATTACCTAATGTCTACATTTTTTTTCTTAAACTGTTTACATTATCTGTTTTTAATTTGGTTATTTATCAACTATCTAAACAGCTTGATGTTGAAGTGCCACCTGAATTAGATGCTATAGTTGGTATGAAGATGCTTTTTAAGATCAACTTCAAACTGGCCCAAAAGATGGGTCCCAATTACCCATTCAATGTTGTTAGGGTTGTAAGGGATGAGCACTTGCTTAAGACCTATGCTGACAGATTTGTGGAGCATGAAGAGCAAGACTTAATGTCAAGGATGATTGAGGAGGAAACTAACACTGATGCAGTTTCTGGAGTAAGAATTTGAAACCCTAAATTATAGGTTTTTTTTTTTGGTTACTAATAGGTTTTTCTGCTGTTCTTAATTATAGGAAGATTCTATTGGAGTTGAAGTCAATAGTCCTGCCACTGTCCAGCCCTCGCAAAAGGAAGGAGAAGACAATGCAGAAAATGCTGGTGCCATTAAAAGGTCACTTTTGGATGAGTTTTCATCGTCCAAAAGTAGGAAATTGAATGACTCAGAAATAAAAAAGGAAAAGTTGTAATTCAGATTGATGGTTGAAAGTGGCTGTTGTTAGCCGGGCACTATCCAGACAATTTTTTTTTTTTTTTGTAATACTATGGTGTGACAATTTCTTTTTTTTCAGTTCTATGGATGGTTTTGAACTTTTATCTAATGCTTTTAGTAATTACCTATCTGTTTAGTACAATAAATGGTTGTGTATACTGCTATTATATCCTGTTTTGCAGTTTTCCTAATTTTCCTTTCAGGTTATTAGGAGTAAGGATGAAAGGTGTTAAAGTTTAGCAAAGATGCAAGGTGGCCAAGGTTTAAAAGGCAAACAGAATGGAAATAGTTTGGCAAGCAATTTAGAGTTTGAAGTTGTGTTTTTATATGTTCCTATTTTCAATTCTAAGACTCTATATCTAAATATATTGTGCCTGTTTTGCAGCAAAGATGCCAGGTGCTAAGGTTTCAGAAGGCAAACGGGATGGAAATTCTTTGGCAAGTAATTTAGAGTTTTAAATTGTGTTTTTATATGTTCCTATTTCCAATTCTAAGACTTTATATCTAAATATATTGTGCCTGTTTTGCAGTTTTCCTAATTTTCCTAACAGGTTATTCAGAGTAAGGATGAAAGGTGTCAAAGTTTAGCAAAGATGCTAGGTGGCCAAGGTTTAAGAAGGCAAACAAGATGGAAATAGTTTGCCAAGCAATTTAGACTTTGAAGTTTAGGGTTTAGGGTATATTTTCCTATTTCCAATTCTAAGACTTTATATCTAAATATATTGTGCCTATAAAATAGAGTTTGTTTCAATTACCTATTTGCACAATCTTCTTTAACTCTGTTTGAAATTCTAATATGAAGATATGTAAATATACTGTGCTAAAAAAAGGTGTTAGTTCCAATTACCTATTTGCACAATCTTCCTTTACTCTGTTTGCATCTCTCGAAATCAATTGATGTTCAAGCTGGAATCCATCAATGTTTTCTAGCACATTTAAAAAGAAATTAGATAACAGCAACTAAAAGAAGATTTTTTTATTCATTTACATTACTGTTTTAACAAAAAACCAACAATCCTTTAAACTGAAAAATGTTTTGATCCTAAACATATCTGACTTTTATAGCAATAGAATAAAATAATTTAACAAATACCAGAGGTCAAATAGCATACAAATAAAAATAGATTAACATTGTCGATACTCGAGGACCATTTGGAGAACAAAGACAGTTTTCAAGGTTTGTATTATTAATAAAATAAAGTTGTTTCTTCCAATAAAAACAAATTAAAGAATCTTATGATACATACAAGAACATTATACCAGTCTTAAGCAAAGAGTAAAAAAAGCGAATTTAAATTACTGTGTTCACTAATAAATGAGAATCTGCTTAACAAAAAAAAGTTTATCATACACAAAGGTCACTTATATGCTTATATAGAATAAAATAATGCACCAAAGTCAAGATATCAAAGACACTACAATTAAAAATATATGAAGTTGTTCGATAGTCGAGGACCATTTATTGAACAAGGACATCTTACTGAATGTGTGTAATATTAAAAAACCAAAGTTGTTGCTTGCAATAAAACACAGTTAAAGTATATTATGATATATACAAAATAGTTATACCAGTTTTGACCAAAGAGCAAAAAAAAAAGTTATTAACATTACTGTGCTAACATTACAGAATTGTATACTTATATAGAAAAAAACAATGCAGCAAAGTAAAAACCAGTAATGGAAAAGTATTGCGTTACAAATTAAAGTGAACAGACTTACAAACTATGCAAGTATATGCATACAAACTAATCTAACTACAGTCAAGTAAAGAGGAAGTCTTAACCTATTTGCTTATATCACCATATTGCTTTTAGTGGTCTTTGATTGATTGGTTTTTTTCTGACGGATGCTCTTCAATTTCTTCAAAGCTTGAATTATTTAATTCTAAAAAGAATAACAAAAAAAAAAAATTTGTTAGAATCTGTGTTCAGAATATTTACAAAGTAAAGTGAACAAAGTTACAAACTATGCAAGTATATGCATACAAATTAATCTAAAGACAGACAAATAAAAATAAAGTCTTAACCTATTTGCTTATATGACCATAATGCTTTTAGTGGTCTTTGATTGCTTGGTTCTTTTCAGCTTGCTGCATTTCAATGTGTCACAAGCTTGGACTATTCCATTCTAAAAAAAATACCCCAAAAATTTAAAATTGTTAGAATGTGTTCATAATATTTCATAAGTAGAATCAAATAATTAATGTATGTGTTCAATGTTCTTACAACAGACTTACAAACTGTGAAACTATAACAGTGCAAAGTCATCTAAACTAAGCCAAATCAAGATAGAGTCTTAACTTATTTTCTGATCAGGCCATAGTGATTCTTTTCTGCTGGCTGCTCTTCAGTAGCTCTAAAAAAAAAAATAAACAAGGTTAGTATTTCTGTCCAGAATAAATAATAACAACACATACATTGAATAAATTGGCAGCCACATTTTGAAAGAAATTAGATAACAGCATTGCAATTCCAGAGTTGTAAATTAATTAACATTGTTCGGTTAACTAAAAAACTGAAACTATATTTTAATTGCCATAACATAGAAGTGAATATACTGCCAAAAGGGAATTATTGTCCTGTTAAGTATTAGTTAATCATTCTTAGGAAAAGAAACACATTGCCTAAACATTAAATAGAATTGATGGGCAGCTATCATTACTATTAAGAGAAAACTCTTCAGTTCCAATCCTATTTTCAAAATCAAGGCAAAAGTAAAATAAACTACAATGAACCCATCTAAACAAGGATGCCCCATCTAACTACCAACACAACCTGCCAGTTTCATACCCCAGTAAAATAGACAAATCACATCTACATTTTCAAGTAAAAACAATAGACAGAGCAATGAGGAAAATCACTAAATCAACAATTATAGGCATCAAAAGGAAACCAAGTGATGAAAATAAAGGTAAGTTCGAAACTTATCTTTTTAATACTTCAAATTAAGCTTCATTATAGCATCCTCTTCCTGTGCGATTCTGTTTATGCTCTCTGTCTCCTCAAAAAATTCCAGTATGTTCATGAAAACAACATGATAAAGTCGAAAAAAGGTTAGGGTTTGTGTGAATAATAATATAGCTATACCATTTTGAAAATGATTGTTAAACAGTTAAGAGTAATTTCTATTTGGTGTTTTTAGAGCAATTTCTAAAAAGAATACGGTTTAGAACACTAATGGCTATGAATCATACAAATCTGAAATCAATAAATTGGACTATGAATTGTCGATATGCATGCGTAGATCCAGAAATGTAGATCAATTTTAGAACAAAGAACAATGAAAAGTACGAAACCCTAAACAAATTTTGTGTAGATTTAAAGCATACTAACCTTAGAATTGGAGAATTAGCTTCACTGAAACGCGATTGCCACCATTTACCGTTGTTGAACACTACGATCTTTCACAGAAAGGAAAGATCGGGATTGTGTATTGAAAATCGGATCGATGCTAAGCGAGACCCGACTACAATTTCTCCGGAAATAATGTTCAATAAGAACAGTTGAATCGGAGATTACGACTTAGGACTGATCTAGATTTAGGCTTGACAGAGAAATATAGGAAGATCGTTTGGAATTGCTGAAGAACAGAGCGGTTCAGACATGAGAGAAGGAGAGGTCAAGCGAAGGAGAAGGCTTATCAGCCTCCTTCCTCTTCTCTCAATATTCCGACCGGAAAACAATAATAATTAATATATATATATATATATATATATATATATATATATATATATATATATATATATATATATATATATTATGTGCGGCAAATTATATATATACAGAAAATATATATATTTAAATAGTTTATACATATAAATTAATAAATAAATATATAGATATGTATATAGTTATTTATTTATATATTTAATTTTGAATTGTTATGTGTAATTAATTAGATATATAATCTTAACAATTGTAATGGTATTTATTGTGGACAATGTTATACTTAAGAGTTTGTCAAATAAAATTAGTGTTACTATATAGCCATTACAATTTCAGGTTATATATATATATATATATATATATATATATATATATATATATATATATATATATATATATTACAATTAGATTATCCGTTAGGTGTGTTTAGTGGCACAATCACTAATTTGTAAATAATTGTTAGGTAAATCTTGAACAATTCGAAATTAATTATGTACTGTTAGTTGTGTTATGTGTAATTCATTTTTAGGATTTTTAATTATTTGGATTATTATTTATTTTAATGTTCTATTCTAATTCGCAGAAAATGAATTGGGCAACTCATCATCAAGGAATAATTCTGCTCAAGGAAAACAACAGCCTCCGGCAAGAAATCCTTCCCGCATTCCTCTAGGAGGGTGTTTGTCGCAAAACATCACACCCTTGAGTAACATGACTAACGGTAAATCAACTAAGTTCAATTGATATAGCATCATTGTGAATTTAAAAAACCTTTTTATTGGTCTACTTATTATGTAAACCTTATTTAAAACAATTACAATTTACACTTATAGGCTAGCGTAATGAATAGCATTAGGTGTGATTAATTTTAAAAATGTCAATTGTTGTACTTACTGTTGTTTTTATCGTCTTTTAATTGATTCTTTTTTCCTCACAGCAAATAATTTTTGCAAATCATCATTAATGACTAATGCTGGTCAAGGGAAAGAGCAAATACGCCAAATAATCGAACCCAAAATCCGTTGGGATGTGGTTTGTCCCCAGATATCACACCATTCAGTAACATCAGTAATGGTAAATCCCAATATATGAATTGATATACATTAATTGTTAATTTAAATGTCCTTATACTGTTAATTGTTCGAAGCTGTTTGTCAAATTAAATGTTATAATTGTAATGTAATTTATGTTTAATATCAATTTCTAATTAATTGATTAGGTGTAATTAATTGATTACATTGTACTTAATGATATATACTTTTAGATTTGAATTGTATTTAAGTTAGAATGTGGACCATCGTCTACATAATTCTATTCGATTACGTATTAAAGTTGTGCAATTGTAAAATTATTTATGTTATGTGTACTTAATTGTTTCGAGTTATAATTATTGGAATTAGTTCTTAATTTAATGGTATATTTTCAATCACAGCAAATCATTTCGGTTGCTCATCTTTTACGAATAATGCTGCTCAAGATCAAGACCAACGGACGACAGCTACTCCTTACACTAATCCCCAGCGAGGATGTTTGTCTGAAAATATCACACCATTGAGTAACATCACTACCGGTAAATGCCCTAAGCTGAATTGCTATAGACTCTTTGTGAATTTAATTATAATGTAACTCATGGTACATATAAGTATGTGTGGAATTGTAACTTCACTAATTTTTGCCTGATATATGATTTATTTGATAATATCAATTTCTAATTTTTTGTTCAAATAGTTATATTTCTTTTGTTATGTGTAATTTAATTATAATGTAACTCATGGTACATATAAGTATGTGTGGAATTGTAATTTCACTAATTTTTTGCTGATATATGATTTATTTGATAATATCAATTTCTAATATCAATTTTTTGCTGAAATACACTTTTTCACTTTTATTCCTATTTATGGTGCACACATTATTGTGGACCATGGTCTATCATGTGATTTTTCCAATAAAATATAATAATACTTATACAGTTAAATTACTATTTCATATTCTAGGGTAGCATAAGTTATAATGTTAAGTGTATTTAATTTATAATATTAAGAATTCTATCCTTTTTATGTTAGTACGTGCTACCAACTTATTTTTTTATAGTCCCATAAAATGTAGTGGTCTCAATTAATTGTCACTTTAAATATTGTTATTCTTTAAATTTGTCTAATATTATGTATGTGTACAGTACGGCAGTGCAATACACAAATAGGTCCAAGCAATTGCCAGAAATTTTTTATTGTAGATAAACAAAATCCGGGTTCGACGATAACACAAGATGAATTGGCAATTCGTAAACCATTAGATAAATATGCAATTGTCGAAGACCATGTAACAACCAGAGACTTGCTACCTGCCTTTGAAGATGAAAGTAACAATACAATGAGCGATGTCCCAAATCAGAACATAGATGGTAAAAAAATAGTCCCCTGTGGTGTTTCAAACAAATATAAGTAAAGTACATATGGTCACTCTTTCAATATTAAAAATAATTTTTAAATGTTTTTTAATTTCAGATGCAAATATATCGGGTAACGCTGTTAGGCAGACCTCGGAAATTGGGACATCCTCTGGTCCACAACATGGTATGTATGTTTGTTTTATACGTGCCTGAAATATAAATCAGTATTTAAATTTGTATATATTTGGTTTCAGGTCAATACTGCGATTTTGGTGATGCAACGAATCAGTGCGTCCATTGTGGGGCTCTGTTTTGGTTTGAAGAAAGGAAGAAGAATTTGTCAACAAAAGCATCGCCACTGTTTATGTTGTGTTGCAACAATGGGAAGATCAAATTGCCGGATAATAAGTTGCCACCAAAAGGTATATTTGATCTCTTTTTCGGCAATGACGAAATATCAAAAGAGTTTTTACACAACATTAGGACCTACAACAACATGTTCTGCTTCACATCATGGGTGGAAAAATTGACAAGAACGTGAACAAGGGGGGAGCACCTCCAATTTTTCGATTAAGTGGTCAAAACTACCACCTAATGGGCACTTTACTTCCAGAACAAGGCAAAGAACCTCATTTTGCCCAGTTATACATATACGACACGGCAAATGAAAGGAACAACCGTATAAATGCTGTGAGGTAAAGAAGTTTCCGTAATTACACATTAAATACTATTTTTTATCTAAATAAATATCAATTCCAAGTATATGTTGTTGTAGGGGTAGTGGTGACCAAGATGACATTCATGTAGAAATAGTGAATGTCATTCAGAAAGACCTGGATGAAAATAATGTCTTGGTTAAGTCTTTTCGCATGGCTATGTCTGAGTTGGATATTAATCCATGCGCCGAAGTAAAAATAAAGTTGTTGGGAAAACGAACTAGAGATGCGAGGACATATAATCTGCCTCAAGTTTCTGAAGTAGCAGCTTTAATTGTTGGAGATCTGGATACAAGTATTGGAGAGCGTGATATTATTGTTCAATCGAAGGGTGGCCACCTACAGAGGATTACTGAATTAAATCCTTCATACTTACCACTGCAATACCCTATTTTGTTTCCATATGGCGAAGATGGTTATCGGGAGGACATTGCATTCGCCGACGTAGTAGGCAGGCGCTCTTCTGGTGGTAGACAGAGGATTAGCCCCAGGGAGTTTTTTTGCTACCGCATACAATCTAGACAGTCAGCTCCGAGTACCATATTATTTGCCAAACGGTTGTTCCAACAGTTCGTTGTAGATGGCTACACAATGGTTGAGTCTGGAAGACTAATTTATATAAGGACACACCAAAAAAGCCTAAGGTGTGAGAGTTATAGTGGATTGACTGATGCTTTGACGAGGGGTGAAATAAGTCCTGCAGCCCAAGGTCGTAGAATAATACTACCTTCGAGTTTTACGGGTGGTGCTAGATACATGATACAAAACTACCAAGATGCAATGGCAATATGTAGATGGATTGGATACCCAGATTTATTTATAACTTTTACATGCAATCCGAAGTGGCCTGAGGTGCAACGCTTTTTAAAAGATCAAAGGTTGAAGCCAGAAGACCGGCCGGACATAATTTGCCGCTTATTCAAGATTAAGTTGGATGCTTTGATAGCTGACTGTCGAAAGAATCAACTATTTGGCCCTGTGGCTGGAGGTAATATTTTTTTTTTTTTTTTATTTTAAATCAATTTATCTAAATAAATTTTAGGTAATTGCTTAACCTTATTATGTTTATTTGTATGTTGTTACAGTCATATATACAATTGAGTTTCAAAAGCGAGGTCTTCCGCATGCTCATATATTACTTTTTCTGGAGAAAAGTAAAGAAGTTAGGCAAGTTCTCACTCTAGACAACATAATTTCCGCAGAGATTCCGGATGAAAAGAAAGATGCTGAGTATTACCAAGCGGTAGAGGAATTTATGATGCATGGTCCATGTGGAAAAGCGAGGACAAATTCTCCATGCATGGTAAATGCGCGATGCTCTAAACATTTTCCTAAGAGATTTGTTGATAGTTCTACGTTTGATGACGATGGTTACCCGGTATATAGAAGGAGAGACAATGGCAGTGTAGTTACAAAGAACGGTATCGCCTTGGACAACAGGTATGTGGTACCGCACAATAGATATTTATTGCTCAAGTACAAGGCTCATATAAATGTCGAGTGGTGCAACCAATCAAGGTCAATCAAGTACCTGTTCAAGTATGTTAACAAGGGTCATGATCGAGTAACAGCCGAATTTTACAAAACAGGCAATGATGACGAGAATGGCAAAGCAGTAGATGAGATAAATATGTACTATGACTGTAGTACATATCCCCGTGTGAAGCGGTCTGGCGTCTGTTTGGTTTTGATATACAACTTCGTGCGCCTTCGGTAGAGAGGTTAAGCTTTCACCTACCTAATCAACAGAGTGTGATATTTGCAGATGATGATGCGGTTGAGAACATTGTGAATAGACCTACGATAGCACAGAGCATGTTTTTAGAATGGTTTGAAGCTAATAAAACATACCCCGGTGCCAGAGAGCTTACTTATGTTGAGATGCCAACAAGATTCGTTTGGAAGAAAGACCTTAGAAAATGGCAGCCACGAAAGAAAGGGTTCTCCATAGGACGTATATTCTATGTCCCGCCAGCTACTGGAAATCTTCTATTTGAGGTGTTTGCTCAACAAAGTCCGCGGCCCTAAAAGTTACGAAGATATTAGGACTGTAAATGGAGTACAATATGACTCATTCCGAGATGCGTGTTATGCAAGAGGTTTAGTTGATGATGACAACGAATATGTTGATGCAATAGATGAAGCCAGTCATTGGGCGTCAGCGGAACAATTGAGGAGATTGTTTGTGACATTACTAATGAGCAGTTGCATGGGGAAACCGGAAATAGTTTGGCACGCCGTTTGGCAACATCTATCAGACGATGCCCAATTCAATATCCGTACACAACTGCAGAACAGAGGTAATCGTACATTTTTAAAAGAATATTAAGTCAAATTTAACGTATTTGAGCTATAACAACAAATGTTTATATATATGTATGCAGAGTTTGTGTTGACCGATTCGCAGAAAATGAACTTTGCTTTAGTTCAGATTGAAAAGCTATTATCTAATCATGGTAAGAGTTTGAAGGACTATCCTGAGATGCCAACGGCCAATTTTGGTGCGTTAAACATTATTGCAAATAGGTTGATTCAAGAAGAATTATCATACGATCGTGGAGAACAAGAGAAAGAGAATCAAGAATTGGTAAGGCAGTTAACAGACGAACAAAGGGCAATATACAATGAAGTGTTAACTGACGTCGATTGCCAGCAAGGTGGGTTATTCTTCGTATCTGGTTATGGAGGGACAGGTAAGACTTTCTTGTGGCGAGCACTTTCTTCCGCATTAAGGTCTAAGAGTCAAATAGTTTTAAATGTTGCTTCTAGCGGCATAGCTTCGCTGTTATTACCTGGTGGTCGTACGGCGCATTCCAGATTTGCTATACCGATATCTGTTAATGAAGATTCCACGTGCAACATAAGGAACGGCAGTGAACTGGCGGAACTTCTTGTGCAAACAAAGCTGATAATATGGGACGAAGCCCCAATGATGCATAAATTCTGCTTTGAAGCTTTGGATCGAACTATGCGGGATTTGATGCGCTTCGTAAATCCAAGGAGTTCTGATATGACATTCGGTGGCAAAACAGTTGTTTTGGGTGGCGATTTCAGGCAAATTTTACCAGTCATTCCCAAGGGTACTAGACCGGATATAGTTCGTGCGAGCATTAGCTCATCCTATCTATGGCAATCCTGTAAAGTCTTGAGGCTGACTAAGAATCTACGCTTGAAAAGTGTTCAATCAGAATCCGAGTGCAAGGAGATCGAGGAATTTGCTAAATGGATAGCTAATATAGGTGACGGAATGATTGGGTGTCAACTGGATGGGGAGTCAGAGATTACTATTCCAGAAGATTTGTTGTTAAAGTGCGAAGATGACCCTATTGCTACAATTGTTGATAGCACTTTCCCCAATTTCCGACTGGGACTTGCCGATTTGTCATATCTTAATCATAGTGCAATTTTAGCTCCAACATTGGATGTGGTAGATGCCGTTAACCAATACATGAATGACCATAATCCCGCTGAGAGTAAGACATACCTGAGTTGTGATTCTGTGTGTAAGTCAGATGCCAATGTGGACATGTTAGCGGATTTGCACACTCCGGAATTCTTGAATGCATTGAGATGTTCTGGAGTCCCAAATCATGCGTTGACATTGAAAGTTGGATCACCTGTTATGCTGTTGCGAAATATTGATCACACATTAGGATTATGCAACGGTACAAGGTTGATTGTTACAAGGTTGGCTGACCATGTGTTGGAAGGCCAAATCATGTGCGGTACAAATGCAGGAACCAGAGTATTGATTCCTAGGATGTCTCTTACACCGTCAGATCCTAGATTGCCTTTCAAATTTCAACGAAAGCAATTTCCCTTGATGCTATCCTATGCCATGACAATCAACAAAAGTCAAGGACAAACGCTTGCTAAAGTTGGGTTGTTGTTGAAAAAACCGGTCTTTAACCATGGACAACTATACGTAGCTGTTTCAAGAGTTAGTAACCCCAGGGGTTTGAAAATTTTGATTTGCGGGGAAAGTGTACCATGTCTTAGTACGACTAAAAATGTTGTGTACAAAGAAGTTTTCAATAATGTATAATAACAATTAACAATTTGTTTCAATAATACGTTTCTTATTAGGTTTCTTATTCTTATTATATTATACGTCATATTTTATGTACTATATAGGTAGAGTCTCTTAATGTATAATAAAACTACTATTTTCATCAATGTCGAATAAAATCACTACTTTTCATTTCACATTTTTAAAGGTCTAATAACTATATTCTATACTGTATATATATCATACTATTACGAATTCAAACTATATATTTTTTCATCTAATA